TATATTTTTATCAACAGAAAAGCTTCAAAAGCACTTTTGGTTCTGATTCCTCTACTCGGAATTACTTACGTTTTGGTAATTGTCACTCCAAATCATGGAACGGCTAAGATATGGTTTGCATACTTCCAGGCTGCTTTGCTCTCTACTCAGGTATCCTATTGATTATTTTCTGAGATTACAAGATTAAAATTTTTATCATTAACAATAATTCTTCTTCTAAATTTAGTCTAATTAAAGAGCAAAAATCATAAAATAATGTTATAGCATTCTTTTGTATTTTTCCTCGTTAATGAGACTAAATCCGATTATTTCACTTTAATGATATTATTTAAAAACTTTTTAATTAAAAAATGCTTTTTAAACTTTATAAATCTTTTTAGCTTAAATAATTTGAAAAAACATCATTTTCTTTTTTGATAAAAAGTTTTTCTTTGTTTATATATATTATATAATTAAATATAATCATTTTGAAATTCAAATATATATTTATATTAACATTATTTATTATAAAATTAATTTAAATGACATTTATCTTATTAATAAATAAATTGTTGAAAATTGTTTTAACTATTATATTAATAATCAATATTAAATATTGTAAAATTATTTATTATAAGTAAATAGATTTTAACACGGGCTATTATTTAGCGAAAATTAATTATATTGTTCACTCGTATTGACAAAATAAGAAAGTAAAGATAAAATAATGCTTATAAATGGCAATGATTGATTAATTAATGGCGTGAATGTAAAAATTTGCTATTTATAGATAAACTTTTGGATCAGGTGTTTTAGGTCACATAATGAAGAATTACTTGAAGACTTTTTCAATATCACCTCATCAAAAATCCTTTCATTATTTGGTTATAGTTACACTCTTGTAAAAAAAAGTTATTAAAGAAAAACTTTTTAAACGACTTTTAAATAGTTTTTTTACCTTAAAATTATAACGATATGTATGTATTTTATTAAATATTTTTGTTTTTCTAACAAAATGCACATAAATATTTTTACGATACTAAAAATTAAACTATTTTAAAGTAAAATTTTATAGACTTACTTTTCTTAAATATAAAAAAGTTGAAATTTTTCCATAAACAAAAATTATTTAATTTTAGATTTAATATAAAAGTTTCATTTCAGTCTCTTGAGATTAAAAATATATATCTAATAAATATAGGTATATTATTTATTTGTAGATATAAAAAAAATTCTGTTTACACTTTCTATATATTAATTTAGAAACTTTTATATAGGGATTCACGGTCGCTGTACTTTACTGTTTTCTCAATGGAGAGGTAAGATTTTACTTTATATATTTGATAAAAACTGTTATAAATATATTTGCATTAATCTCAAAATTTAAAAAGAAAATTTCAGATAGAAACTTATACATTATCTTAAAATTTTATTTATTGTTTCAGTATCAATTACACATCTATTAAAATAATTATTCAGTTCAACATACGATTAGCTTTTATTTAACAATAATAAAATTTGATTATTCCTATATAATTAATTTACAGATGTATTCTGCTTACGTCCATCATTGACACTACTTCAGCTATTTTCGTAGTTATTGATCATTACTTATTGTTTCTTTATATATTCATCCCTCTAAACAGATGAAAATAAATGCTAAAATAACTTCCAGAATTCTCACCTCTGTTCACGCCATTTTTGCTTAGTATTCCTGTTACGAAATATTCTCATCATAATAGAATAGCTGTTCTCTTTTTGTTCTATAAACCGTGAGAATCAGCTGCCTGTCGTCTTCTATACGTTATATGTTTTGGAATTTTATTATAAAACTTGATACTTTGATGTTTCTTCTGTCAAAATATTGAATTTCCGCTTCATGGCTTCTTATATTGAGAAAAAAGTAATGAAATTTGTAAGTGAATAATAAAATATAAGATAAACAGTATTTATCTACAGGACATAAATAATACTAAGCAAAGTTATTTAGCGAAATTTATTTTGTATAAAATAATAATAATATGAGAATAAATTATATATATAGGCCTATATATTTTAGCTTTTTATAAATTTTTTCTATAAATTTTTCTTGAAAAAGTCCAAGAATTATTTTTTTCTTTATTTACAATTATAAACTTTAAGTCAAAATAAAAAATAAAATTAAGAAATTTGGTTTGTTATATTAATTCTTGGTATAAACATTTAATTGAATATAATTATTATTGTCTATTAATTAAACATTTGGAAAAAGTTCTCCGTTATTATATATTGCAATTGTTACTTCGAAGAAATATTCTCTTAAAAGATTTCTTTAGAATTTCATTTATTTATTTTATTTTATCCGTTGTGATAAACTGAAAGCAGAGAATACAGGCAGAATGAACTTCTTCAGAACAAAATGTAGGAGGATTTTTTTGGGGGGGAACTAAAATGCTACTAAGAATAAACAAGGAACTAAATGAGACCTTCATTAAAGTCATTCTATTATTTTTTGATTTATGTAGATTATTTGTATTAATTTAAAAGAAATATATTTTATATAAAATCATTTTAAAGAATTTTATATATATATTTAATTCGGAAAAAATGATATATAATAAATTTTATTTATTGATACAATGCAGTTAAGAAAAAACTTTTAATACAGCTTTCAAAAGGAGTTTGTTAATTATTTTTTAATCTTTTATGTTACTGCTGTTTCCTCTACAGGAGTTCTATACATTTTATTGTCCTTAAAGAAATAAATTTTCGAAATGCCTTCTTCGTGTAGATGTTTACAATTTTGTCTTCTTGAGCTTCTCTTTCTTTACAAACACTACGACTTTTGCTTTTTATTTTAGTTTATCTTTTGATGCTTTCAAACTTGCCACTTTGCTCTCTCTTTCCCTTTAAACATGCCGTTTATTTTTCTCTTTTATTATAAAATTATTCTTCATCTAGCAACATCGATCGACTACATAACAAAACGTTTCGATTTTTTACACTTTTTAATTTGGTTAAATTTAAATATTAAAGTAATTATCCAGAGACAAGTTGGTTTAAAAAGATTTAGTACTTTTTTATTAAGGTATTAATTAGTTTATTTTTTATATAAATT